TTTATCGTCCATGTTTCATATTTTGATGGTTATGTGCATCTGAACAAATAGAAATATAGGTGCAGGATGCCTGACTGCCCTCTAGGAACTAGATTATTGATGTTAACAGTTGGGAGAGTACTGTCTCTCCATAGTACTGTCACATTCCGATTTCAGTTGCACGTACGGTGACCAGTCTCCTGGTTTGCCCAGGAATGAGGGAGTTCCCAGGGCTCAAGCATTTCAATGCTAACATCAGACAGCCCTGAGCAAATGTGGACATTTACTCTCCCTGGTCATAAGGAATAGGGAGGTATTTTAGCTATGCTTTTACGTTAAATACTCAGTAATGGACAGTTGTTACTAAGTTGCATTTTTTCAGGCATAGGCCAAATTTAAAGCTTCTCCTGGGCTCCTTGGAGAGAGTTTTTGGTGCTGCTTGTTGGCCTTATTTTGTTTGCCCTACTTTATGTATTTGTTTGCGGGACGCTGCATAACGCTATGTTTTAGCAGAAAGGTCCTCTTTCACTTTAGGAAGCTCAAACTGTTTGTAACCAGTCAATTCCTTGTAGAGTGATTTACTAATAATCTTGTTAGTATCATCATGAATTATCCATTCAGTGTAATTTTGTAAAACTGTTAAATAGCTGGCTCCAGTAAGGACCATCCACTAAAAGAGATGAACATATACCCAATTTTTCCTGGTTACAGCTTCTTACGCCCAGAAACTTCTTTTTTTTTTTTTTTTTTTTTTTTTCCTGCTGAGCTTTCTAGCTTATCTTTAGAATAGAGTCTTTTAGGCCTCCTAGCTGAAGCTGTTGTGTGTATTAACTGAATCTGCTTTCAAACTACACAATTACCTACTTGTGTGCCTAACGATTATCTTCTCTCAGCACTTCTGGTCTCATCAGAAAATAAGAATATACCTGCCAGAGAATATTAACTATTTTCCTATGTTCTCTTGTCCATCTGACTATTCCCAGCAGGGAAGCCTTTGGATACTTTTGAATAAAAACTAGCTGTACTTCTGGTGCAAGATGAAACAGCTTTCCTGAGCTTACGTGCATAAATGAGGCTATGTGTGAGACCTCAGTTGATATCTTATACCTATCAAATGTAAACAGTCCTGAACTCTAAAGGAACAGATATAACGGTAGGCAAGTTTTGCAAACCTCCTTTATTGAAACAGAGCTTGTCCTACCTCACTCCACTAAAAAACAAATTTACTTTCCGAAATGTACTCCAGTAACTTTGCTTCAAGATCTTTAATTATTCCATATACGTACTTTGTTCCCTCAATATGTTTTTAATATTTGATTTTTGAATTTTAACTAAGGTTAAAACTGAATTGAATGTTTCTGCCCCCACTCTTAGGAATGAAAAATTCTATTTGAACTGGTCGGGATTCCTGTTCACACCAATGTTAATAGTGCTCTGATTTCATGCAATTTTGCATTTTACACAGTGCTTGCACAGAGAGGCTTCCTCTTGATCATCATAAAATTATATTCAGGCTCAGCTTTTGCTCTGAAATGGGCATGAGAAATGTGCATAAGTAAGATTACTTTCTTTATGGAATGGCCGTATCGTAACCAACCGTTTGTACGGTATATTTGCTATAATTGTATATTGTAAAATGTGAATATTGGCTCTGTCCTTGAATAAATTTCAAATGTTAAGGGTGACTTTACAGAAATCAGTAATAAAAAGAACAGGTCTCTTAATTTCCCCTTACAATTCCCTAGTAAACACTTTATGACACTTGGTGAATTAAATAACATTTCTCTTCTCGGTACCATTCATTCATTTCACAAATATTGATGAAAGCCCTGCTCCAAGCCAGGCAATTCACAGCCCCTGGAGAGACTCATACTCTGAACCCTTGGGAGCCCCTCAGGATAACAGTAGATGAGCAAGACAGACTTGACTCAAATGGTCACCCAAAAAGTCAATGTTTCTCTCTTTATAGGTCATTTTAAGTATGAAAATTTTATATAAAAAATTGTTAGTGCTTCCAAACTGCTTAATGGCTCTTTCTCCTATTGACACCAGATTTTGAGGGAGTTCATCTGCCCAACACATTTATTGTGCAATTTCCCTTATTGATATATTAACCTTCATTGATCTACTCAGCAACCAGTTTTCTTGTTTATTAATACTGTATTAGTATGAAGTTTTTTTTTCATTGACCAGTCTGCAGTTTAACTGTAGCTAGTCAGCCTCTTTTCTAAGCATCTAGTTTGAGTGTTTCATGAACAGACGTTGTCTCTGGAGGGTAGAAATTGAATTGGAAAAGGAAACAAATTTATGGCCTTCATAAAGTCTCAAGGTGCGTTTCTACTTAACTCAAGTGGTTGTTTAACAGGCATGAAGTGTTTGCTGTATCTGACTCTTCATGTTAATTTATGTCCTCATGGTGGTTAGGTGGACAGTTATGGAGGAGGGGAGGTGGAAATAGGAGCCAGTGCAGCTGAGTGCAAGCGTGGGCGCTCAGGTGGGGCACGTACCTGGTATTGCAGTGACAGCTCAAAGCCTTTGCCCTCTCCAAGTCTCCACCTCCCTTCTCCACACCCCCAACATGGAATCAAATCTTTCATCTTATTTCCCTAAACTGAAATAAAATGATGAGTTGAGCTAGTTTAAAACCACTTGACCCTAGCATGGGGGATATTTAAGGACGATCGGAGGTAGAACTCCTGACATAACATCTTTCAATTTCAATTATTTCCCCGGGGCGGGGGAAAAATCCCATCGACTGTCCATGATGACCTGGTATAGGCTATGGTTAAATGATGAGTAAGAATATAATGATTCTCATGATCTCCACAGTTTAGTTCCTTAAGCCCAAATTTGACATTCTGTATCATGTGAGTACCTCTGTCCCTTTTTAATGAACCCTCATGATGTTATGGAACTAAAACTAAATATTCAGAATTTTTCATAAAAGTTATCAACTTGTGATAAGGTTTTTGATAACTTTCATTTTGTTTACTCTTTTCTGGATAAGATGTTTTACAATGAATATGCTTACTTTTTAATTTAAAAAAAATAATAAAAATTACAGAAGTACATTTTATAAAACTCCTGCCTATATCTGTGCCATAGCGAAGTAGGTTTACTTTTTTTATTTCATATGTCCTATCTGGCTAAGTACCTGTTATTAAAGTAAGGTGACCTTACATTCATATGGTTCTTTACACAGATTTTCTCACATGGAGCTTCTTGAACTTAATAATGTAGATGACATAGATCATAACATCCCAAAACAAGGAAAATGTGTATTATTTTTTCTTGTTTGCTGAGAATTATCAGCAAATAAGCATGAATAAGTCAGTATTTTTTCATCCTAGCACAATGTTCCTTTTTTATATACTATAATTTATTTGTCCTCTATGTGCATCAAGTTCTGTTAACTTAGAACACATAAAGAAACAAGACCCAGTTGCTGTCATCAAGCGGTTTATAATGCAGCTGGGGTAAAAAGACATATGCTGACAGAGAGAGTTAATTGGCAATGCAATTGATGGCACAGATAAAAAGTGCAGTGCCTGATAACAGTGTGTGGCACGTCAAAGGCATTCAAGAAATGATGGATGGATGGAGGGATAGATGATGGATGGATGGATGGATGGGCAGAAGGGCAGATGGACTGACAAATTAATTAGTTACCAGAATAGAAAGGAGAAAAGTCCACTGGTCACAGATAGTCGAATTTCAGTAAATGTCTTTTCACTATTTCATTGGTCAGAGAGTACTTCAAGAAGGAAAAGATAGACTAGCCAGGCCTTCAGGAACTTATAAGAGTAGGGCTTAACTCTGCAGAGAGAAAGAAAGAGGGGTTGTCAGGCCAAGTGCTCAACCTGGACAACAGCAGGGGGGCAGCAAGAGTAGCTTCTGACTAGGGTCTCTAAGAGTGGCCTTGCTAAAGCAAAAGGTTTGGTGATGAGGTTGTTTTGCAGGTAGAATGGAACTACATCTGAGCACACCTTGACCATCAAGCTAATGTATTTATGTAATCCATAAGCATGGGCAGCTATATAAATGTTTGCATAAAGTCATTCATGTGATAATAAAAAATGTTTTAGACAAAAACTGGAAATAGGACATAGTGTTGAATATAAAGTTATAAGAGACAGTTCAATAAGAAGTGGAGATTTTAAGTGCCAACTGGAATTTTAAAGTATTTTTAGAAAGATCTGCTGCACATGTATATATTACTGTGTCAACCAAGTATTCCTGTATCTAATTGAAGTTTCTGAGACAGTTATGTCAAATTCAGCTTTAGATCAATAGGTATGCTAACTGAGAACCAAAAGATCCAAAGACCCGAAGCTGGCATGAAAGTCTAGAGGCCTCCAAATATTTCATGGATCAAGTTTGATAAATTTTGTATGTGCTAGAAGAAAAGTAATAATTTATGTCTTCTAAGGTAGTCAACTTAATTACTAGACATGTCAGAACATTGGTATCTCTTGTATGTAAGTTCTTCTTGTGCTATGAGAAGTCATATACATTGTTACTTCTCATTAAACCTATTAATTATTTTATCTTGTGAAAACAGTGATGTCATCACTTAAATGCAAGTGATTAAACAGGGGGGCCCTGGAGAAAAACTATGTGCTTTAGAATCTAGTTCGACCAGTGACTTGCTAGTCAATCTTGGCCAACTTTTTCTCTGTTCTTCAGTTTTCTCATTATTGAATGATGATAATAATAATGGCACTAACCTCTGAAGATTGTTGGGAGGACTAAATGTAAAACTGTAAACTAGTGCCTGACATGGAGTAACAATTCATAAATGATAGGCATATTACTGGTAGTGATAGACAATCAGTGAAAACTGTACATATGTCTTATTTTCTTGACATGATTATGTATTTGTTTTGCTGGATTTATTTCTCAAATCATTGCTGGAAAGTTAGCTAGGATCCCACAGGGGTGTATCTGGGCTCTCCACTGAGTGACTTTATAATTCGACATATGTAGCTTAGTGAAGCTGACCAGTCTCTTGCTTTCCACAGTGAGCCATCTTTATGGATTTGGACTGATGGATGCAGAAGCCATGGTGATGGAGGCAGAGAAGTGGACCACCGTTCCCCGGCAGCACGTGTGTGTGGAGAGCACAGACCGACAAATCAAGTAATGCTTGCTGCTGGCAAACAGCATGACAATGCCCCAAAAGAGAGCAAGCCAGTAAATTGCTCAAGACAGCCCCTTGTTGCACACAGAAGCTAAAAGCTTCTGTAGTGTCTCTCTAATGTGACTATGAAGTGGTAATAGAATGACTAGGATTTTGAGCTATTAAATTGATACCAGTATAGCCCAAGAATCCTTCAAAGAAAAGCATCTTTTAAAAAGGGATTGGGGGATATGCTTACCTCTGGGCTATTGAAGGTTTTCTACTGTCACTATTTCTATTTGATGGTGCAAGTATTCTCCAGAAGTCAGTGTACTTTTAAAAACTGTAACTACTCTATACCGCATAGTTATCCGAAGAGTGATGCAAAATGTACAGTCAATGAGATTGCAGTTTACTCACAGCTTTCAGGGCCTATTCCCCAGTTTTAGTGGCGTAGACTTGGAGGCTGTGCTGACAAGGTTTGCCAACAGGATTCTATCTTAGTAGGCTTATTAGTGTTTTGCTCTTGGCTTTCTGTTCAGAGGCTTTTCTCTCTGAAAAGTATTTTTGAACCTTGGCTAATGTTGAAACTAGAGACATTGTCATTCTTGAGAAAATGTGTTGGGAAGCAGAAGTAAACCAACTAAAGTTGTTTGAGTTTATTTTCATTCTACTCTTGTAGAATGAAGAATGAGAGAGAAAAAACAAAAGGGTGTGAAAGTTAACCAGTGTTTATTGAGCACTTACTATGGGCCACACCAAGGGCTAGAGACTTCATGTATGTTTTCATGTTGAAGCTGTGTAACAACTTGGGTGTTATTCTCATTTGAAAAACAAGGAAATGGGATCAAAGGAATTATGTGTTTATTCATTTACAAACTCATTCACTAAGTAACTATTTTTCTCCCACTTACTGAAAATAAGCACTGAGCAAAATATTAGGAATAAAAAGGAGAATAAGTAATACTTCCTACCCCTGTGGAGGTTACAGTCTAATGGAGGCATCACACCCAAAATATAATAAGTAAATAATTACAAATTATAATAAATGAATGTTGGAAATTTTAACAATGTAAAAAATAAGAGATGGGGGACGTGTTTTCACCGGTGGCTCGATGAAGGTCTCAGGGAGGGGAAATTTAAGCTTTGACCTTGAAGGAAGAAGAGTTAGCCATAGGGACATCAACAACAACAACAAAAGTACTTCAAGCAGAGTAGTGTGTGCAAAGTCTCCAAGGTGGGAAACTTGAATTATTCCAGAGGTTGAACCTGATGCCATTGTGGCTGCAGCCCAGTGTTCAAGGGGAACTGTGGCATAGGAAGAAACTAGAGAGGAAGACGGGAACCTGTAGGCAAGAGGAAAGAATGTGCTGGCGGGTTACAGAGTGAGGAATGTGAACCCCCGTTATGCTAATCCCCAAGCCTCCACTGTACCACAGTACAGTGGTTCTCACAGTGTATCCCTATCACCTGGGAACTTGTTAGAAATGCAAATTCTTGAGATCCATCCCAGACCTACTCAATCATACACTCTGGGACCAGCAGTCTGTGTTTTAACAAGGTGATATCAATGCATACTCAAGTTTGAGATCTATTACCTTCATGAAGATGGAAGAACCTTGTTCCTTTTTCACCTCTCCCTTGCATCTTTCCCATTAACTGGTAATCCTTTCAGTGACCCAGTTATTTGGGTGATAGCACTGTTGTTTAGTATCCAGCTGTCAGCTACTTGTCTTACATTGTAAGTTTATTCCATGCTTCCAGGTTCACTCACCTGAGCTCTATGGTGTCATTTGCTCAAACTCCCTCTCTCTCTGTTATAGGACAATCCGCCCTAACAGTGCAGTGCGCTCCATCTATAAAGCTTCGGGCTGCTCAGATAACCCCAACCGCCATGTCAACTACCTGGAGCATGTCGTTGTGCGCATCACCATCACCCACCCCAGGAGAGGAGACCTGGCCATCTACCTGACCTCGCCGTCGGGAACTAGGTCTCAGCTTTTGGCCAACAGGTACAGCAGTGGTCTCTGCCCACCAGTGTAGTAGTCACAGTGACACTCGGCTATGCCTTAGGGAGAAGGGAACAACTGCTGCTTTCATCTACCCTGGGAACCAGCAGAGGGGGCGCTTAGATGTCAGGATCTCACTGATCATAAGTAGAGAGTGTGAAGCTGCCTATAATCTGCAGACATGGAAAAGTAGGGCATTTAATAGTTGGCTAAGAAAAGGATGCAGGAGAAAAATTGAAGGCCACTTGTTCTTTATCCTACAAAAGAATTGCAGAACACTAACTCGTGAGGCCTCTGAGATCCCCTCCCCCACCATTAAGTATCTGCTGCCATTCGTTACAGATTAACCGAATTCTCTTGCCCAAGCACTTACTTTCAAAAGTTAAAGGAAATTCTAATTTTTTAAAGCAGGTGTTAACAAATTGTTTCTGCACAGGGCCAGGCAGTAAATGTGTGGAGCTGTGTAAGCCCGGTCTTTATCCCTACTCTACTCTGCCATTCGAGTACGGAAGCCACCTAGACAATATAAATGAATAGGCATGCCTGTGTGCCAATCAAACTTTACTTACAGACAGGCAGCAGGCCAGATGTGGCCTGAGGCTTATGGTTTGCTGACCCCTGTTTTTAAGGTTGACTCTTCAGTCTTTTTGTTTTGTTTTGTTTTGTTGAGACGGAGTCTCACTCTATCTCCAGGCTGGAGTGCAGTGGTGCAATCTTGGCTCACTAGAATCACCACCTCCCGGATTCAAGCAATTCCCCTGGCTCAGCCTCCTGAGTAGCTGTGACTACAGCTGCACCCCGCCACACCTGGCTAGTTTTTTGTATTTTAGTAGAGATGAGGTTTCACCGTGTTGGCCAGGATGGTCTCGATCTCCTGACCTCATGATCCACCCGTCTCAGCCTCCCAAAGTGCTGGGATTACAGGCGTGAGCCACCGCGCCCAGCTGACTCTTCAGTCTTTACTGCCCTAGAGGGTATTCAGTTTCTCTTGCTAGCCTCTCCTCCCTGCTTCCTCCAAAACACTTCCCCAGCAGGTAAGTAACTGTGTTTTGTACAGGCCAAGATCCTGCTGAGAGAATATGACCAGAATGTTCTATCACACATTTTCTTTTGCTCCCTTGGCTTTTTGTGTGATTGGGAGCATGGGAGAAAGTTGTCAGCAAGTGGGACCGAAGAGGGGAGATGTCAGGTTTTCTTGTGATCCTCATTCTCATGGTGGTTCTAAACGACAAACCACAGCCCAAAGCCTAAAGTTTCTTTGATGGTTTTTTTTTCTCCCAGAAGAACATTTAATGGGAGCAAAAACGTTCTTATCCGTGGCATATATAGTTCAAATGAAAGTCAACCTTTTATGTACATATAGCCACTTGTCCACACACCAGGTGACCATGGCAGTGGTGATCTTTGTTAGAACACTAACAACAGGCCAGAGGTGTTGAGAGGCAAGAGGCCCATGAAAGTCTGCACAGCCAACAGTGAGACTGAACTTGCCAGTTGCTTTTGAAAATCCCCAACCTCATCTACTGTAGGACAGTGATAAAAGGAGAGAACAATAACTTTTCTGGCCTATAGCAACTAGGAGTACAGAATCTGAAATCTTTTTTTGTTTTGAGATGGAGTCTTGCTCTGTCACCCAGGCTGGAGTGCAGTGTTGGCACAATCTCGGCTCACTGCATCCTCCACCTCCCAGGTTCAAGTGATTCTCCTGCCTGAGCCTCCCCAGTAGTAACATTAGTTAAAATGTTACTAGTGATAATAAATTAATCAGAACTTTGGCCTCTGCCTTTGATCCTAGTTCCCGTAATCTCTAAGTGCCAGGCTCAGATAATGTGGCCTTTGCAGGGTTTGGGCAGCTAGTCCTCTAACCATTTTCTACAAGTAAAATGTACAGCCATTACAGGCACACGCCACCACACCAAGCTAATTTTTGTATTTTTAGTAGAGACGGGGTTTCACCATGTTGGCCAGGCTGGTCTTGAACTCCCAGTCTCAAGTGATCCTCTCGCCTTGGCCTCCCAAAGTGCTGGGATTACAGGCATGAGCCACTGTACCCAGCCCAGAATCTGAAATTTTCATGTGTGTTTTATTTCTGTCTTAGACTTGCTGTGTTCTTTCACATCTAACATCTTCCATTAGTGTATGGGAAACCTGGGTTTAGTACTTTAAATGTGATGTGCCGCTTTGCCAGAATAAGTGCCTGCAGGTGCAAGGAACATAAAGATTCCTCAGCATAGGATCCCTGGGCACTTCTTCATGTCCTCCTCCCACTGCAGACAAAGAGGCCTCAGCGGGCTGCCTGCAGGGTAATTTCAGCTACCTGCCTGAGGTTTCTTTCTAGCAAGCAGAACTTCAGATACACAATTACGTGATTAATGAAGGTCTCTCCAGCTGTTGTTACCGAAGCTAGGGAAGGCCTTTATTTCTTGCTTTTTTTTTCTTTTCTTTACCATTATTCACCTGGGTTTAACTTGAAAACGTATCCCGGTGAAACACTGTGAAGTGCAAAGGTTTGCTTCACATATGTGTGGATCGTGTTCCCCCGAGCCCCCTCCCTTGTAGAAAAACAGTCCCTCCGCTGTTGCTGTTTGCTTGAAACACTCAACCACTTCAGCCTGTCTGGGCTCTTCCTGCATATTCTGCTATTTATTTTTGGCTTCCCCTGAAATGACGTCAGTGAGGAAACTTGTGAGCAGAGGAGCGATGGATTCCATCACAGGCATTTGGTGGATTGCAGTGTTGCTGGCTTCAGGCTCGCATGCATTCTTCAACAGCCGACATCTGCTTTGCTCTTTGCAAAGTGCTGAACACAAGAGTGTTGCATGGCTTGTGTCGGAGAAAAGAAACAGGCATTTCCGAGGCGCGGTGACCGGCGCTCCCATAGTGTACCTCAGTGTCCCTCATCAAGACCACCTGGGAATCAAGTTTGCTCCCAGAATGTGTCTTCTTGGACTGGAGCAGTTTCTTTAAGTGCAGCTCTTGTTTATCCTCCATCTCAGTCCTTGAAATAAGTAGCCACCGAAGAGAGGTAGAGAGCCTGGAGGTTGGAGGGGGCTGGAGATGCCAAGATATGTAAAGGATATTGTGAATTCATTTGTCTACAAGCTCCACAGAATTATTGCTCTGAGCCGCTGACCCTTTCCATGTGAAACAGCTGCACCCGGTCCCAAAACCATGAATGGCCACCTTCCAAGGCCTGGCTCGCCCGTTCCCGCTGTGCTTGACACTGGTAGCGTCCCTCCTACCGAGGCAGCTAAAGAAAGACAGTTTCTTTTGGCACTCTTTCCATCTGGAGTACTCTGAAGCTTTCATTTCATTAGAGGAAACTTCTCCTCAAAACCTCTCAGTCTCTGACCTAGTGACAAGGAGGCCTCACGCCCTCTCACCTTGGCCCCGTTTCAAAGCACATTCCCAGAATGGAGAGCTGGGAACAAGGGCATAGAGCGCGGTGGAGAGGAGGTGAAGCAAAGGCCTACTTTGCTCCTGGTGTCCTTCCTGTCGGTATGCAAGGCAGTCCATCTCCGTGGTGGGGAAAAAAAATGAAAAGGTCAGGTTTTGAAGGAATTTGCCAGAGATGATTGGTAAGAGCAATAAATATTTCCCCTGCCAGATCCTTGTCTTTTTTTCAGAGAAGTCAAGATTTCTCAGGAGGACCATGTAAAGCAAAGAACAAAGATTTTTTTTTTTTTTTTTAAATAGGAATTCTGAAAAAGTTTAAAACAATGTTTCCCTAGCAGAGGTGGTTTGAGATGAAGATGTTGGCTTCTTGTGGCAGACTTTCCTCATTTTATCTGTCCTACCCCTCTGGGGGCGGGGGTGACTCTTTTCATCCAGAATTAGAATTTCCAACACTGCACACTTAACTAGCCTGGCAGCCAACGTGGAAAACTCCCCAAGGCCTTTGAAGCAGCTCCTCTGTTCCATGGCTTACTCACAGCAGACTGCGTGTTGGCTCCTGGGAGAAGGAACCAGAATCTGGAGGCTCACTTGGCATCACCTCTCCTTTGCAATGAAAAAACCAGAGACCAGACAATGAGGATGAAGCAGAGGGGGAGAGTCCAGAGGATGGTACTGTCCTTTTCAGTATTGACAAAATATACATCCCCGTCTGGAGACCTGAAACTGATCATTATGTATGGTTGGTTTTCCAGAAGTCCTCATTTACCTAGACATTTCAGTGAGGAATTTCGTCAGAATTGTTCATCTCCTCACCACAGGAATTCCTTGAAAGTCTGTTTTCTGCGAAGTGCTGAACACGTTGATGTACTCTGTGTGGGCCGTCTGGAGCCCCTCAGTGGCTCCCTGTCCTGGCTGACGGGCACTCGCCTGAACTCCTGTGGAGAACAGCTGTTGGAGGAGGAACAGTTTCCCCAAGCATCTGCAGGTGCTAAGCACTGCAAGGCACTCAGCAGCATTCAGAACTCCAGTCCAGCTTGAGCTCTGTGCCCCATTAGCCCGGCGTGCACGCTCCCCTGGCAAGCCCCATGGATCATGCAGTGGGTGGGCGCCGTGAGTCAATGGAGAAGTCCTGGAATGGACTTTCCTTTGTTCTTCCCCTGCCCTCCCACCCTCTCCCCTTGGCCTGTATACCCTGCCTAACAAAAAGGCACATTGAATATTCACAGCAAGTGATTTACTTGTATAAAGAGCACGGAGGAGGTCGAGTGTGTAGGGAGAAGCCACGGGGCTTGGGTCCTTTGAAAATGTTTTTAGTGGGAGCAACTTTAGATATAAGCCTATATACTATGACACATTCAAAGTCTGCCTGTGTCAAAATTTTCCAAACAAAAGCTTATCCCAGCAGATTCTTTCTTCAACTGCATTTGTTAGAATTATGAAAAGCTGTCTTTTTTTTTCTTCCTGAATCTCCCTCATTGAGTTTTAGACTTAGCTTAGATGTATTGGCCCTCTGTTCCAAATTTTGGCCTCTGATTGAAAGCTGAAACTTTGCCTCCCTTTCTAAATTTGATTATAGATGAATATCTCTGCTTCTAATTATATCCTTA